GGGAGGAAACATCACTGACCGACAACAGTTTGAGTTTGGACAAACGTGTAAGTAAATGGTGCTTATTTTGTGAAAATCCTTTTTTTAGAAATTCTGCATATTCAAATGAATTATCACTGTTATTAAATGCATCAAATACAGTTTAATCACTAACATGTGTTTAATTACACAGAAATGATAGAATATGTTTTTACTAATTTTGCTCTAATTTGCAGGGATGGTAACTAATGAATCATCATTGTTCACATATCTTGACGGCGAATCCTGGGAATTGTTCAATTATCCGGATTTCATTCCGTACTTCCTTGATGAGTTGATAAATAGGTTTGAAGAAAAAGATCAAGACTTTCTAAACATGACACGCACTGCATGTGAAAATAACATAGATTGCGTCTATGACACGTTGGCAACCAGGGCAATGGAGATTGGACTGTACACTAAAACCAAATCAACTGTTTTTGAAGAAAGTGCAGCACAGCTAGGTATTTTACATTTTTCTATATACAGATTCAATAACATACAAGAATACTTAACCTATGATACTTATGTTCTAATGTTATGGAATTATTTCAACTCACATTTCGCTGTGTATTTTCAATAACAGTAAATTATCCACCTCGTGTGAATGGAACTGACGTGTTGCGAGTAGAAGTCAATAAACCTACAACGATACAACTCACCGCTGAAGATCCAAATGGCGATTTAGTGAAGTTTAGGTTTCTAGAAGAAATAGATGGAGCTGAGATCGGGGAAGAGAGTAAGTTGACCAGTCATGTTTCCCCTTTCCTTTAACGTAAAGTATATGGGTAGGTAGTTAATAATGATTCTAATAATAGATACATAAAAGATATCATATCGGCCGATCACTTGGTCAGATAGAAAATAGTAGCATAGTAAGTCAGTAAACTAAGTCAGTCAGTCGGTCGTTCGACTCACACTCACATTGACTCTCACTTTACCACTCCCACATTTAAACTCATACACTCACTCACTCACTCACTCACTCACTCATTTGGAGACATGGATAGGAAGGTCACATAGCAAGTGTGTGAAGGTGAAATGGTAGGTCGCGTATTGTGTCCTTAATAATCTGTATGTTCTGCATTACAGCGGGAACTATTACCTGGAAACCAGTAAATACAACACAATTAGTCTTTCAAGTCCAAGCCTCAGATGGCAAAGCAGTAGCGGCGTACAAACCAGTGGTTCAGATATGTGATTGTAAGAATAATGGAACGTGCCTATTTGACACTAGTGTCGGAGAAAGCGATGAAGTGAATTCAAAGTTTAAGGTATAATTAAATATTATCTCCTTGATGTTAGAATACACACATACTCGCATGATACTACAAAGTTTAATATCTTTGGAGGCTGAAATGATATAGGTTAAGTTATCACAAATACAATTTTTCTTTGTTTTAGCTGTTCGTGGAATTTTTCACTTTAAGGCACTGTAGGTCGAAGAGGATTATAGTAAAATAAATACCATACATATATACTTGTTTTCAAATTATCTTTTCAGGTTGTAGCGTGCAGTTGTTCTGAAGCATACAGTGGTTCCTTCTGTGAAACTGATTACGATGGTTGCTTGGATGACCCATGTTTTCCTGGTGTTAAATGTACTGATGTTGAGGCTCCAGGTTTCGGTGCTATATGTGAGGAATGTCCTTATGGACTTTATGGTGATGGTAAAAAATGCTATGGTATGTACAAGCAAATAATCAATGAATCCCAAAAGTTGCATGCATTACATTCAGTTTAATTCATAACCTCGCTATACCTCTTTTTTAAGACATTGACGAATGTTTTGAAGAAAGGGATCTGAATGACACAAGGCAGTTCTGTCAGCAAGAGTGTATAAATACAGTTGGAAGTTACAATTGTGGCTGCTATTCAGGATATGTATCATATAATCGTACTCACTGTGAAGGTAAGATATCTACTTACATGTTTATATCTGTAGAATTCACGTGATTTTAATGTAATATTTTTGTGCCAGACGACAGTTCAAGACAGGACATTCAATGTAACTGTTGTCTCGCTTGACTTTTTAAATTTGCAAGTGTAAGTGCTGACATACGAGGGGCGTTCAATAAGTAATGCCCCTGACCAATTTCCCATAGCAGGAGATTGACGAAACTTAGCACAGTTATTAGCCTTTCTCTACATAGGAACCACCCGGAGTTATGCATTTCTCCCATCGTTTGATGCAGCTCTGGACACTGTTTTTGAAGAACACCCCAGGTTGGTCCTCCAACCACGTCGTAACGTCATCTGGGAAACGCTCTTTCCTTTCAAAAACAACTTCATGGCTGGGGAGAGATGAAATTCAGAGGGTGCAAGGTCAGGAGGGTAAGGGGGATGGGGAGGATTTCATAGTCACACGCTCGTGCTTCTGATCTGGCGACATTCGAGTTGTGGTCCGGAGCAGTGTCCTGCAGGTAGAGGATACTTTTGCTGATCTTGCCCCGCCTCTTGATTTTGATAGCTTCTCTTAATTTCATCAAAAGTGAAGCGTAATAGACTTCTGGAATTGTGGTACCCTTTGCCAGGAAATCTGTCATCACTACTCCGACCTGGTCCCAGAAGACTGTGAGCATGACCTTGTCAGTGGAGGGCTGCACCCTTGCCTTCTTTGGAGGTGGTGAGTCCAAGTGCTTCCACTGCATTGACTGGGCTTTGGTCTCTGGAGTTTCATCCTGTGTAATCAGTCTTTTGAAAAACTCCAAATTCATCCTCGGGCACTCGACGCGTTCTTGCTTCTGGAAAGGTGTTAGCCAACTGGGAATCCATCTGGCGGACACCTTATGCATTTGCAAGGTGTTAGCCAACTGGGAATCCATCTGGCGGACACCTTATGCATTTGCAAATGGTCATGAATGATAGTTTCCATAGACTAATCTTGACCTCTTGGGCTATTTGGCGAACAGTAATGCGTCGATCTTCCGAAATGGCTGCCTCAACTTGACGGACAGATGCCTCACCATTGGCAGAAGAGGGATGACCAGGTCTGGGAGCTGTTTTCACAGACTTCCGGCCATGTTTGAATTCACGATGCCAGCGTTTTACAAGGTCATATGATGGGGCATAGTCACCATAAGTTTCTTCCATTTCATCAAAAGTCTACTTTGGTGTGCGACCTTTCAAAAAAAATGGATCACTGCGCGACACTCAACTGGCTCCATTTCACACCTGACTCAGTTCAAACACCTATAGATCAGAAACCACAATAAGTTCAGAGCAGTTTTATTGCAACATAACCCATATAGTCGTAAATCATGCAAAATTTCATCTAGATCAGACAACTGTAAGTGGGTCAGAGGCATTACTTATTGAACGCCCCTCGTATATAGCGCATTTTGCCACTGAGAAGGTATTCCAGTTTTAGACCATGTAACAGCTCTCTATAATAATGACATTATGACAA